GCCCATCTCTTGCCGAAGACGATGAAAGGAGGATGGCTAGGTGCTCGATGATTATTATTATTATAGTGATTAAATATATAAACGTATTAAAATATGTTCTGTTGCTTTTTCTTTCCTTCACAATCTCGAATGTCGTTATATTATATATATAATATATATACATGGACGCTTTGTATTTTGAAATTACTTGTGCTTAACTAAAGAGGGGAAGAAGAGAGTGGTGAGTCAGCGAAGAAGAAAATGGCAGGATTGTTCGATAAGCAGGTAGATCTGTACGCGGACGCCAGACCAACCTATCCGAGTCAGTGGTATTCGATGCTCGCCGATCGCACTCTTCACCACTCGTTGGCTTGGGATGTCGGCACCGGAAACGGACAAGCTGCAATCGGCGTTAGTATCATCTTCCTCCTCTCTTTTCAATTTCATGATTTTAAAAAATTGAACAACCGTAAATACACAGATTATACTCCGATTCTCTGTGATGCTAACGAACACAAATGATCCTGAATTTCTTTGGAATGATCTTGAACCTAAATACATGAGATTTTTCTGGTTTTAGATCCTAGCTTCTTTTGACTTTGCGTCTGTGCGCGCGCGCTGTGAGTAGATCAAATTACCTGCTCTTGCTTTTATTAAAAGATACTAAAATTTATGAACATTTGCGGTATCAGAAGAATAAAAGGAGTATATTTACCATTTTCTTTTTTAACACGTTTCAAATAGTGAATACAAGGAGTATATATAGTATAGTTACTATATATATATATATAACAAAGATGTCTAGATTTTGTATGTAATTAAAATGTTCACAGGTCGCAGAGCACTATGAACGTGTAATAGGAACAGACATCAGCGAAGCCCAGTTGAAACGAGCAATGGATCACCCAAGAGTCACCTACCACCACACTCCATTACCCTTCAACGATAACCAAATCGTGAGCTTAATCGGAGAAGAAAACTCAGTGGATTTAATCACAGTAGCCCAAGCCGTTCACTGGTTCGACCTCCCCAAATTTTACTCCACCGTCACGCGCCTCCTCCGCAAACCGGGAGGCGTCATCGCCGTCTGGTGCTACAACGACATTACTGTGAGCCCTGAATTTGACAGCGTAATGAAACGTTTCCACGACACAACACTCCCGTACTGGCACCCCAACATCCGCCACGTGTTTGATGGGTACAAAACGCTGCCGTTTCCGTTTGAGAGCGTTGGCTTAGGTTGCGAAGGGCAGCCACTGGCGCTGGACATACCCAAGAAGCTGTCGTGCGAGATGGTGTTGGATATGTTTAGGTCGTGGTCGGCGGTGGTCACGGCGAGAGAGCGAGGGGTTGAGTTGTTGGGTCCGAGTGTGGTTGATGAGCTGGTCACTGCTTGGGGCGGACCCAACTTGGTCAGATCGGTTACTTATAAAGCTTTTATGCGCGCCGGAGAAGTCAAGATGTAGGGAGAAATTACTAAATTAATAAATTTGATGGATAATTATTATTATTTTTTTTGTATTTTTAATTTTACAACCCTAAATTTTGTGTTTTTATTTGATAAGAAACGAATAATAAAAATACTAAATTGAATTGAACATGAAATTGATAGAGTGCTTTTGCATTTTGAACATATAATCCACTTTATATTCGTTAGAGATTTTAATTAGTGTGCAAATGAAAAAAATCGATATTCTTTAAAAATATTAAGTAAATTAATAACCAGTATAGGAATTATCTAAAATTTAAGAATTATTTTATAAAAATATACTTTTTTAAGTGCATTTTTTTTAAAAGAAAAAAGAAGCCAGACATCCACGACGGTACTCCAAGGGGAGAGGAGAGAAACGTTATTCTATTGTTTTGTCTGTGGAGGAAAGGGATATCTTTCTTCTACTTCCTCGCTAACCTTAACCACTGACAGTGAGCTTCGTCTTCTCTGATGGCTACAGTATCGGTCCCCTCCCTCCGCCATCTCTTTCGTCTTTCTCATCCCAACCCTTCCTCTGCTTCCATTTTCTTTTCCACCTTCTCTCCTCTCCTCTCTCGCTCCTCTGTGCTTCTCCGGCGGCGCCTCTGGTTCTGCTCCACTCGCAGCCTATGTCCCCGGCGCCCTTTCGTTAGCCGTCGATTCTCAATTTCCGCAGCTTCCAGCTCTCCAGGTTCGACAACATATAACCAACGAGTATGCTTTATTATGTTGGCGGGAACTGATTGATGTTAATTGAGAATCGAGCTTCGCGTTGTCTGCTTTCGTTGCTTTGTCGGCTTCTTTTCTTTTTTCATTTTTTCTCGAGTCGCTAATGATGCTATAATTGTATCTATCCATTCGTTTTGAGCTTTTTCAGAGTGGAGCAATGGCATAGGAGCGGGGGATGAGAGGTTTGATGTGATTGTGGTTGGAGGAGGACATGCAGGTTGCGAAGCAGCCCTAGCGTCTGCTCGTCTGGGGGCCAAAACTCTTCTTCTCACTCTGAACATTGATCGAATAGCATGGCAGGTTGTTTCTTTAAGCTTTTGTGTGTGTGTGTGTGTGTGTGTTCTAGCCTTCGAAATTAAGCAACAATATTTACACGTGACGTAATATTTCCTCCTTTAGTGTCTTCAAATATGTTCACTGAGAAAACGTTACTTGCAGCCCTGCAATCCAGCAGTTGGTGGCCCTGCGAAATCACAGCTAGTACATGAGGTGGATGCACTTGGAGGTGAAATCGGCAAGATTGCTGATAGGTAATATAGATGACATTGAGAAGCAGCTTAATGATTTTGGAATTTGACTGTTGTCAGATTATTTTGATGTTAGGACGGGGTTTTTGAAATAAATTTGATATACAATGGTTGTTTGTGGGGATTTTGGGATGAACTGTTAAACTTTCTATCTGCAGTGAGTGTGAAATAAGAAGAACTGTGAGAAGTATGTCATGGATTCTGCATGTTGCAATGATGTGTAGTGGAAGATGGAAGTCAGTAGCATTGAATTCCAGTCACTGGTCGTGAGTTCATGTACCTGGAGATAGCTGCAGGTTCACTGTTTGAACTCACAAGAAAAACTTAAAGGAAAAGATATGTTATGAGGTAATTGAAGGACTCATCTATTGATGATAGGCATATTGAAAAGCAGAAAAATGCAGTTTGTTGAGCTGTAATTGTTGTTATGAAGAGCTTGTCAAGGATATTTATTGGTGAAGCAACGCAAGAGAAGGAAATAACACACAGAAAACTAAGCTATATAGGGAATACTAGTCTCTAAATGGAAACTAACAACCAGAAATGCTTATAGTAGAAAAGACTAGATGGGAAAATACAATATTTGTATTTTAGTAACTAAATTAATGCATTTTTGGTAAAGGTCGTCCTTTCTTTTTGGTACAATGGTAAACATCAACCTTGCTCATGGTTATTTTCTCTTGCTGCAAACAAAATTTTTTTTCATATAATTGCACTAACAATTTTTTTTTTCGTTTTTCATCAATACAGATGCTATTTACAAAAGCGAGTACTTAACATCTCAAGAGGTCCTGCAGTTCGGGCTTTGCGTGCACAAACTGATAAAAGGGAGTATGCAATGGAAATGAAGAAGATAGTGGAGAGGCAAGCTGTATTTTCCATATTTATTGTTACTCCTTGAAATAATGCATTGTTAGCTTATTGTACTATTACACTGCATATTTAATACTTGATGAAAGTGTCTAAATTAGCTTCCCCTACCCAAGTGATGCTTGATTTCGAAATTTTAGCTTTTAAGGCTCCAAACCTTAAGAAGCCGATGAACTTATACTATAGCTTTCTAGGCAATAGTGGATTAGTGTAGATTGAAAAGTACTATTAAAATAAAATGACAGAAACAAAAGGCCAATATACTTATAAAACAATGATGCTGATTGTGCACAATGTTTACATCAAAAAGTCAAATTAATGTTCCAAAAATCTAAAAGAAAGAGATAATGTGGGCTTGTTATGATCACTGAATCCTCGAGAATATCCTAGTTTCTTTTTATCTGGTTCATTTCCCTTATATGTGTGTCTGTTTAAAATGCATTTATGCCTGGATTGGGAGTGGATATGTTGGTTCAATTCTTTTGGCTAACTTGTGCCATTTTTCTCTTTAACAGCACTCCAAACCTTTCTGTTAGAGAGGGAATGGTGACTGATATTTTAGTTGGAAAGAATGATAATGTGGAAGGTGTCAGCACATTTTTTGGGATGAATTTTTATGCTCCCTCTGTTATTCTCACAACTGGAACTTTTATGAGTGGTAAAATTTGGGTTGGTAGAACCTCTATGCCTGCTGGAAGAGCTGGTGAGTCAGCTTCACATGGACTGACTGAGAACTTGCAGCAACTTGGATTTGAAACTGATCGGCTAAAAACTGGAACCCCAGCACGTGTGGACTGTCGTACCGTAGATTTTTCTGTATTGGAACCCCAGCATGGAGATGAAGAGGTTCTTCCTTATAACCTTAGATTTAGCTTTAATGACTCATCCTGCATAATTCAAGAATTACAAGATTATTTATATTTTCTTCGTATAAGAGAATGTTCAGATATGCAGTAACTAGGTTAACTTGTTATATATCTTCATAATTTTTCTAGTAGAGTTCTGTGTATACTCAAATTATTTAAATGGGTGGGAATGAGAGAACAGCGGTGAAATTTTTGTTGGATTCCACCGAAATGGAAGGACTACATTTGGCTGTTGCTAAGTTCAAAGCTTCCAGATTGTATTATAGTATAAGTTAGCTGCTTAATTCTAAACTTCTCCTTCCGGAGGTGAGTTCCATGATTGAATACTCTGAAAAGCATTGGTTCTAGAAAGTTAGAACCTATGGGTCAGTTTAATGAACAATATACCTTTATTTTATTTTCCTGGTAACTGGTGATTATCAATTAATCTGTGGCATTTAGAAATTTAAACTGAACATATGTTGATTATTTACAGGTCGGCTGGTTTAGCTTTGACCCACATTTCCATACTGAGAGGGAACAGATGTGCTGCTACCTGACACGGACCACTAGGCGCACTCACCAGCTAATTGAAGAGAACTTACATGAAACACCCACTTATGGGGGATGGGTTGAAGCTAAGGGACCGAGGTACTGCCCCTCCATTGAAGACAAGGTACATTTATCACCTGTATTTTGAGATATTATACTTGTTTCTTATTTTGCACACATAGGTCATCTCACTCATCTGGACTAGTTTCAATTGAACTACTATTAATCAGGCACATGGTAGCAGATTCTTGTACCATAGGATGTTTCCTACATTTTACTTTTTGTTATTTCTATCCAAAAATATTCTACTTTTAGTTATCATCAGAATAAAACTACGGTCCCCTTTTTGGTTTTTTGTACCATAGGATGTTTGCATTTGATAAAATATTTGTGATGGTTTTTTCTAATGGAAAAGTATAATGTTGTTTTTTGTGGCCCTCTCTTCTGTATTGCTATGAATTCTCATTTGTGTCAATCCAATATTGTTGTTAATTTGCAAATTTTACATCTTCTATAGTTTGTTTTTTCTTTTGGCAAATTTGGAAGGTTAATATTCAATGCTCCACTTGGAGTTGCTTTTTTCATGCTGGAAGGAAGTTGTGGGTGGGTGTATCCTTATTATTGACAAACTGATGAGGAGGAGAAAATATTGGTGAATTGATGTTTCTTGTGTAAGAGGGAGGTGGAGTCCTATAATTATATTTATCTTTGGTGTCCGTTTGTGTATAAATTCTGGACCTTGGTTTTATGGGGCATTAGGGATCAATTGGGTGAGGCTGATTCGGTAAGGGAAGAGATTTGGGCTTGGTAGGTATTAGTGGAAGGAAGAAACATGTGAATCTCATTCCCCTTACTACCTTTTGGGTAAGTTCTAAAAATCCTACATAGTATGATAATGATCACTTATTGCACTTCGTAAAGATATCAGAGAATTTATTAAACGTCCTTCTTTATCGAATCTCATAGTTTATACTATTTAACAAATGTTCACAATTGCATAAGAATTTTCTGTATGTTTGAATACTGAGTCTATTTTTAACATTGTATATAAGACATTATCCTGTGAGAAATAAAAAAATATTATGAATGTAGAAATACAGACATTAGAGAAAAATAAGACATAGAAAGTCATAAATTTACCCAAAGAAAAAAAACTTGTCGGATGCAAGTAGTGTTCACCAATCAAATGCAAGATATATGAGACAATCGGGAGGTATAAAATAAGACTGTGGCAAAAGGCTATTTGTAGACTTCTGGGATAAGCTACCAAGAAATATTTGCATTAATAGCTAAGACAAGCACAATGCAAATCTTGTTATCTTTAATTATCCATTTTCATTGACAATTGCAACAATTTGATGTGAAAAATGCTTTCCTGCATGAAGATCTAGAAGAAGAAATGTACATGAAAATCTCATCAAGTTTTGCCCGAGAAACAGGACCAAATAAATTTTACAAACTAAAGAAGCTACTTTATAGACTCAAGCAATCGTTTAGAGCATGGTCTAATAGATTT